GGAAGAAGAAAGAGAGCGGTATCAACAAATTCAATACAAGTCTATGTGAACGAATCTGACATAAATCAAGGATGCATTAAACTACGAGTCAAACAAAATGTTTGTCCAACAAACACATCACATGGGGTGAACATTGAACAAATTCATTGGCCCCGATCCAATCCACGGCACAAGTCGCAGAATCTCGTATGTTAAACAAATTCAAACGTGAAATCAAACACGGATCGAACACAACTCGGCTGATGTTGCAACGTTAAAGAGGCACAGGGATCAGTGTTGAAAACATATATTGCCCCCCCCCTCCCCCCTCCCCCGATTCGAACCCCCTCGAATCGATACATCACAATTCTGGATAACCCAGAAAACAGAAACGAAGCGAGCATCAAATATTCATCGAAACAAACCAACAAACGTGTAAAATTAAAAGCTCAAAAAGAGAGACCAACGATGATCGAGCATCGACGACGTTGCTCTAACTCTGCGTTTGTACACGCGTGGAACACGATCTCTACGATCTCTTCGGAGATGAGATTCGAAAAATCGAGAGAAGAGAGAAAAGGAAGATATAAACGACATGAAACGACCGCCTATTCTTCTAAATAAAAAAAAAAAAAAAAAAAAAAAAAAAAAAATAGTATACATATCATATCGCGTCGCATTGGAAGGGAAAAAGATAAACGGGAAAGAAAGTTTCGATTTAAAACGACTCGAAGGGTCGAACCGAGTTCCCCTGATAAAAGGAAGCAAGTTTGTAAAAAAACTCGAGAAGAAAGGGAGAAAATAGGGGAAGGAAGATAAGGATAGAGAGAGAGGGAGGAGGAAAAAGAAAAAGGAGGAGAGAAAGTTAGCACGAGTTATCGCAGTACGGTATCAGGTACGAGGGAGGGAACATGCGCCGTATTCGTAAGGACTCTGTACAAAGAAGCATAACACACGCGCACATACACACATATCTGAATCGTACGAATACACGCGAGAGCCGAATACACGCATTGCATACACACAATGCACATAACCTACACACGTACACGCCACGTTCGTTGACCACCATCGCCCTTTTACACACACACACACACACACACTACGTTTTATCGGTTCCTTTTGACTTTCGTAGATAGAGGTACGACTTTTTCTTAAACACACGCGCCATCATACACGCGTCGACGGCCTCCGCCTACCTGGATAATCATTACTCAGGGAGAGGTAATCGTCGACGTTTCAATCACGATTATTGCTATATCTCTTGTTATTATTATTATTAATAGAGATGGGTCGTAACCTGATTTTTAGATTCGAAATTCAAGATTCTGAAATTTGACGAGGTCTGGAAACTCTCGAAACTCTAGAATAAATTGCTTTTTACTCCTTTTCTTTTGCCTAAGGAGTGTGTATTTTCGATATATATTTTCGTTATCGAGAACTAAAGGAAAGAACTTAATTGGAAACTTTGATTTCTTTCAATAACAGTGTCCACTTTTTTGCCATAAAAAAATTATCAACTTCGTGCAACCAAGTTAGTCATGTAATGTTGAATCGAATAGGAAAAAAATTTTTTTCATGAAAAAAATTATCCTTCATCTAGGTTTCGACAGTTTCGAAAAATTAACATCGAAAAATTTCAAAATTTCGAGTGTTCCATCCCTAAATTATTACTTATCATTACGGTTATACACTTAATGGATGAAAGGAAAGGGAGAAAAAAAAAAAAAAGAAGAAAAACCAGAAAAGAACGAAGACGAAGATGATGAAGAACAAATTGGAACGAAGTTTAAGTAATAATCATCGAGAGAGAAATGAGATGATGATGATGAGGAGCTCGTAACGTCGCGCCGTGTTATGGTCAGGAGCATTCATGGCGTTCCTTTCGAAAATTCCGGCGTGACGTCACCTTCATTATTGTATTTAATAAGCATTATAATTTATTCTTGTAACATCATTATCGTTATCGCTGCGATTCCCCGTGATCATCGTCGGCTTCTTCCGCGTCAGTTCGAAGAGAGATCGTTGGGGATGAAAAAAAAAACGATGGAACCAATAATATGTTTAAAATGGGATGGAGAGAGTGAGATGATGCGAAATTTACTCGTGTATTTTTGGCTTGAACTGCGGCGTGTCGTGGCCGACGATCGTGACGCGTGATCGAGAGAGAACAGAGGCGAAAATGGAAATGAAGGAAAGAAAAAAAAAAAGCGAAATTATATATATCTATTATTGTATCGAGAGTTGTGCGCTGCGTTTGCGATTTAAGCTAGTTCGTTTGTAAATAAAGACTATTTAACTCTTTGACATCGGTCGTCTCGGGATGAATTCAATTTTGTGTGTTTCTCCCTATGCTTAGCACGGTATCCCTAGAAGTCAGAATTCTAGGGATCACTAGATTTTGTTCTTATTCGCTATACAAGTTTCGTTTCATTTATCTAATGAAATAATAATTTCGTAAGATCAAAATAACAGTTGATAGTGAACGTTCAATGAAGAGAAAGAATTTTTTAATATTCTTGATATTTGTTCAACAAGGACAACTTTAATTTTTACTTTTAATCTTTTTTTTTTTGTTTTTTCTATACATACATTTAATACTTATACGTGTATGAAATTGAGAAAAAATGTGCGTAGTTGGAATTTTGTTGAACTAAATTTTGTCTTTACGGCCAAAAAAGACTGTACTTTTTAATATTTTGTTTTTTTAGAATTTTGATAGGATATCTTCTTGATTAAAAAAGAAAAAAACGATGTGAAAATTTTGAGTATATTTAAAAAACAATCGACACAAAAATAAACTTTTAAACACAAACAAAAACAAATAAATATTTCATTGTTATATTTTCTAATAACCAATAATATATTGATCTTACGTTTCGTTAATTTCATCATTGATTGATTATTCATTGAAACGCCATAGTGTACATAATGAATCAAATAACTATATAACCATTTTATATATTTATTTCTACATCTAAATTCACCTCATAACAATAAACAGTCTATAAAAGTTTAAACTCTCATATATTTTAAAATTACTACATTCATTCGTATCATTTCCGAGCGTGGCAAACACGAAAATACATCGTCCACCTCGAATACCGTATCGCGATTGATCTTTGGATAACCGGTGAAACGTTTCACGTTTCATCCTATTTATTTATCACACTTGGAAGGGCACGGTACCTTCAAGCCATGCAGGATAATTGCTCGTACACGAGACACATGCCAATATTGTCCTCGAGCGTGGTCCCGGTATCCTCCCCAGGACCAAAGGCCACCCTGATGCGAAAGGGCGTTGCCCAAGTCTCCACGCGGCAGTTGCCTTCTTCGTCCACCTCGTTTCGATCGCACAGTGAATTGCCGCAGTGTTCAAGGTTGCAAATACCCGCCTCGTTGTTGCCAGGCTGCAAACACAAGTTTGGAAATTTCGTTTGGGAACATCAACGTCATCGTGTTACACGTAGCGAACATTTGCTTCGTTCAAGGAGACAAGGTTAGTTGATCCTATGATTTTCATGTTATATTTTATCGTATTAATTAATACTTTTTTTTTCTTTTTTTCCTTTTACTGGAAAATTTCTTGGTAAATATTCAAAATTGCGTAAAGTACGAAATATATATATATATACATATATTGTAATAAATTTTGAACAAAGAAGTTGATTAATAATTTTCAATCATTTCAGCGAATCATTTTTTGCAACCATTTTTCACGTGTATATTTTTTAGAAAGCCTTCCAATTTTTCACGTTATACAAATTCTACAACCTGGTATCGTGTATACTCTGAAAAATGAAAGAAATTAAGAAAATGGTTTTCTCTGCTTTCTTTTTCTTTTTTTCTTTTTTTTTTTCGTTTTCATGCGGTGGAAATTTACTAGTCTAATGCAAATGGCTACAGCCAAACAAATTACAAGAATTTTTATTTAAATAATCTTTGATTTAAACAAATTTTTATTTGGATTTAAATTTATTTATTTAACTATTGCGAACGAAGAGGAAAGAAAATATGATTTTGAAAAATATGTATTTCTGTAAATTATCAAACTATGTTATTAAATATTATATTTAGAATGAAATCTAAAAGAAGAATATAAATAAATCAAATAACATATTGTATTACATATATACAAATATATGAAAAAGTATTAACAACGATACGCAAATACATAGTAACTGCAAATCCTTGAAGCAAACATCATATTTCATCTGTTCAAATGGAAAAACAGAAACTTATAAAGAAACATTTTTATACGTGTGAAAAATTATTCGAAAAACAAATTTTAAACAAATACAAACAATAATAAATTACACGTATGTGTATGCTAATTTATGAATAAATTAGAATCAAATAAGTGCGTGCAATTTTTTTTTAAAAATGAAACGCGGAATGACAAAGAAAAATAAAATTTGAATTATTCAAAGAAAAATAAAATATTTTAAATTCTTAAGTTCTTGTTTAAAGAAAGAAATTCCAACACAAAATAACGAAAAATTTGTGTTTAAAAAATTTTTAAAAATTTCCAAACACAAAAAAACCTTTTATTTTTACTAAGAAAAAAAAACTGTAAGAAATGTGTTAATTAATTTTTCAATTTCAAGCATTTTTTATCGGAAGATTCGATTAAGATAACTGATCCATAGCTTGCGGCTAAAATAAATATTTCTCTGGAATATTTCATAGTGTTCACCGTTACATGGAAACTATTTACCGCTGCAAGAAGAAACTGAGCAGGAGATTACAAAAATGCACTACCTCGTTTACGAGGCAATTGCACATTTAAGTTTATAATAGATTTACTATATATACTATATCTAATAATTGGAAAATTATTTTTTTAAAAATTATAAATTTATCAAAATAACAAAATTGTTACAAACAATTTCAAAGAATATTATTTTTCAAATATAATATATAAAATTAATAATTTTGTTTTAACTATTCTGTTTCAAAAGACGAGTTTTAAAATTTTACACTTTCTATAATTTTAATCTAAATTCATCTTTTTCGAATATTTATCCATAACTCTTTCCTACAAATATTATTAAAAATAAATATTATTTTATTTAAATATTTAACAATCGAGTTTCTAAATTCAATTCAAACGGCAATCAATCATATTGAAAAATAAACAATTTACACGAACCATATCGAAAAACAAACAATTTACACGATCCGATAAAACAAGCTTACCAACCTTCATTCATTTCAAACCAACAGTAACCGATGATCATTAAATTACCCGATTGCACGATCAACGAAATCGAAAAGTTCAATTCATATCATAGAATTCATCGATCTAATGAAACAACAGAGCCATAATAAAGTTGGTAACATTATAATTGATAGCTTTTGATCCATCAGAAGAGCCACTCCTCCGTGAGCGCTCTCGAACCTAGCTAAAGCCACAACTTCTCCTATCAACCGACCCCTCTCTCGGCATCCGTGCTCCCAAACAAAGTGAAAACATTACCGTGATAAATTCCTCGAAGTCACAGGGAATGAGCACCCTGTCACGGCATCGTTCTTGCCCGTAAATGCTGCTCCCTCCCGACGGATCTGCTTCTTGCTCCATCGGATTGCTCGTGTTCATCGAGGTCAGAAGATCGTCCATAGAGTTTGATCCGGATCCCTCGATATCGGTGGCGTTCATAGATCCCACGGTATCGGTGCTATTATTCCTCGTGGTGAGATTCGTTGTATGAGCCTGGTCGGCGACAGACGCGTTCGAGTTCGAGGTGTAATTCGCCGATTGCATCCTGGAAGGGCCTATTCTGAACGAGTCGGGTGAACAGGGCGCGTAAGAGATTCCGCACATTCCTCTTTCTTGGCGGATGCAGAGTAAGTAGTCTTGGTTGGCCAGAAATCTTCCATTCGAGAGAAAGTTTAGAGATTTCAACGTGCCATTGTTGCCTTCGAAGTACTGGAGGCAGCCGGTAGGGGCGCGCTGCTCGAAGTCCAATTGGACGATTCTCATTTCCCACATTCTGGACTGGAGGCCACCGGGCAGCCGGAAGTGCAGCGTCAACGGCTGATCGTCCTCGTCCATGTCGATGTATACTAGAGAGAGAGAGAGAGAGAGGAAAAGGAAAAAGAAGAAGAAAGAAA